GTCTCACCCCCAGCCAACATGTACCCTCAGGGCCAACAAGGCACTTTCTATCCATCCAATTCAATACCACCCCAACTACCCGTCACACAAGACGCACGAGGCTTCAGCAACCAGCAGTCGCCGATATCTCCCTCTTTTAACCAGACGACGGCACAGAGTGATCCGAGCACAATACCTCAAGCTCAACCAGACCAGCTGCAGCAGTTTGGGCCCTTGTTCGATCCAAGCGATCCAGCCCTGTTCAACTTTGACATTTCGAGCCTCAACTTTGGGAACCACTATGGCGCGCTAGAGTTTGGCATGCTCGGCCACATGTCGTCAGGCGCGGTAGAAACCCCGCATAACAATGGCATGATGAACGCCATCAACGGTCCTGTCAACATGTACAACCAACCCTTATCCTCCGGTTACGGAGATCGAAATAATTCTGGCGTAATGGCATTCGGCCCGAATGGCATACCATCGGGCGAATGGCAGGAATCGCATTCGCGACAGGGTAGCATGCACGCTCAGACAAATGCTTCTGTTGGCTCGAATCATGACCATAGTCATCGGAGCGACAGCCTCAATGGACCTCACGCATTCGCCATTGGACAAGGACCTGGCACTCACTCATCCGCAAGCCCGGCATCCACGGATGCATCTACCTTTGAAGGTGACAATCCACTGGCGGCTGCAGCCTTCTTTGCCAATCCGTATCGGCCGCATGCACAACGTTCGCCTTTGGTAAACCGATCGCAGCAGGAAAACAAGCATCCAAATTCCGCACTACATTCATTACATGCCAATGGCATCCGCAAACGCCAGCGAGATACCAAAAGCATCTATCAGGGCATCACCAAGCCCTATGACTATGTCAAGGGCTATCATAGGCTCTACCAGTTGATTGACAAGAAATACTCTCGGCAATGGGTTGCCAAAGCCCAGCAATACTTGCAGAATTATCGGCCGGTGCTACTCCAAGTCCGGGAGGAGCTGAACAGAGATGATTTGATTCACCAAGAAATGGGTCTTCAGCGCCATCTTATGACACTCCAAGAACACTTTGCAGAAGTCGGCACACCGTTCTTAATCTGCAGGCGCTCGGGTGAGATTGTCGGCATCAACAAGGAATTCACCATACTCACCGGCTGGAAGCGCGAAGTCCTCCTCGGTCAAGAACCAAACCTCAACGTCAACACTGGCATCAACCGCGACTCAAACGAAAGCGACACGTCGACGCAAAACACGACACCCAACCTTGCAGCCCAAGACAGCGAGACCGCTACGCCCAGTGTCAACATCATCGAGCTCATGGACGCACGATCAGCTCTCGAGTTCCTGCAACACTTTTCCGAGCTCTGCTACCAGGACCCTCGCGGCTATGCCTCCCAGCGCGTCAATATGCTGCGGTACCAGACCAAGGCAGACGTAGACCGCCTACAGGAAATGAAGAGTGTGAATGCGGGTGGTGACGCAAAACATGATCCACTAGTTAAAATGGAAGGCGGCGCCGTGCATCAGGGCGAGAGTGCCATGCAGCGACTTGGAGCCAAGAATGGCATGGTGGACTGCATGATTTGGTGGCATATCAAGCGCGATATTTTTGATATGCCTGTGCTTGTTTGTATGAGTGTAAGTTTTCTTCTCTCCTTTCAGGGCCATGATGAGTGATGAGGTGCTAATATTGGGGTTGTAGGTTATGCCTGTGCTAGATAAAGGTCTGCAATAAGCCGAGACAGAAAGGTTTGATGATTTCTTTCATCTTCTTCTTCCTATTTGGTGTTGACGATCGAGGCGGCTGTAACAAAAGTGTCTTCATGTTCTTGTCTTTTTTCTTCTTCATCTTTTTTCATCGTGGCTTTTGCATTCACGACGTGCACAACATACAAAGGGGAGAGGGACGTGATGGTCTTTTGTTTCGAGGGTCGCTCTTCGAAAAAAGACAATTTTAGTCTAATAGTTCCTTGTACCCTTTACGGGAACGGGCGTCTTCTGAGCATTTTGTTTTTTTTATCCAGCAAAGCCATCTACTACGAGAGAGGTTGAACTATTGTCGCCTTATGGGCGCAGTGTTTCTATACGTTGGGATATCTTTCTTTGCTAACGGTCAAACCGTGTATGCATGAATTGTTATCATGATCGAATTCGTGTTAGACTCGATACTTACTCTCAAGGGAGAGTGGGGGATATCGCCGTGCAAGTTAGTCTAAGACATACGAAGTAAAAATACAACAACAACATGTCCTTGCTCCTTCTTACCATCCCAAGCACCAAAAAAATTGCTCATTAAACACCGCCCACCATCAATTAATCATCTCACTCTTCACAACCCCATCCTTCTGCCCCGCCTGCTCCCCCCTCGCATCCCCATTCCCCATAACCTCCCCTCCCTCCCCTCTTCCCTTCAACCACTCATCCCCCTTCCACTCCAAATACTTTTCCCTTTCCAAACTCCTCTTCGCCACACGAATATCCTCCTTGATATCCTCCACCAGCGCCTCCAAACTCACATAATCATATTCGGGCCGTATGAAACCCAGAATAACCAAACTCAGCGTCGCGCCATAAAAATCGCGCTCGAAGTTATTCAAAATGTGGATTTCGATGCTGCGTTTCGAGTTTTTGTAGTACGGGTTGTAGCCGATGGAGAGGACGGTGGGGTAGATTGTTTGCGGTGAGGGGGCGGGGGAGGTGGGGTAGTTTAGGTCGAGGACGGCGTGGTTGGAGGATGTGGAGGGGGGTGCGGAGGGTGTTGAGTCTGAGGGTGTTGTGGCGTTGGAGGGTGGGGAGGAAGAAGAAGGGATGGTGGAGGGGTCGAGGGTGCACCAGCCGTAGTAGATGCCTGAGTCGAGGTCTTCGTTGCCGCCGATTGAGAGGCCGGAGAGGGGGATGTTGGCGGTGGGGATGCCGAGCTGAATTGAAGTTAGTCTTTTGGATGTGAAGATGCTTTGGAGAGGGTTGTTGGTACTTCTTTACTGCCGCGTCCGAAGCCTTTGATTACGGGACCCCGGAGTTTGAGGGGGAAGGGTGGTTGGGGGGTGTCGGGGCCGGCGATGGGGTCGCGGGGGCCGTCGGGACGTCCCATTGTGAATGTCTAGGCGAGTCTTTGTTTTTGAAAAATAGGGATGTGTATTGCAGGTGTTGTATATAGGAAAAGGTTGTTCGTTCTGAGAATAGGTGATGTTAGTTAGCTTGGCTTCCAGTACTTTCTGGTCGGGATGGCAAAGGGTCCGATCGGAATGCATGGTGGGGCACAGTGTGGAATGGTAAGCGTCATTGCTGCTGCTTAGTCAATGCAAGGTACCAGATCATCGCTGCTACCCCAACTAAATGCGGCCATGCTTCCGCCAAAAGCATTTTGGTCGGTATGGCGTTGTAACAGAATGATTGCAACATCTCCTCGTATCGCTGTCCTGCCATTTGCATCCTATTTGAAACTGTGTGTTCCATCTCGTACAATGACTTCTATATCGACAACCAAACAGATCTCCCGCTTGCACGATGATAAACCGGCATTTATATATGGCACTGCCTGGAAGAAAGATCAAACGAAGAGACTGGTGAAGGAGGCGCTGGCTGTTGGGTTTTGGCGTGTCGACACAGCTGCACAACCACGCCATTATCAAGAGGCCTTGGTCGGGGAAGCGCTTCGCGAAGCATTCACCGAAGGTATCTTGAAGCGAGAAGAGCTCTATGTACGTACACCTAAATTCCTGATCATCTGATACTAATGTCATGTAGTTACAAACAAAATATACTACCCCTGCGGGACAAGACCTAAACAACATTCCCTATGACCCCAACGCACCCTTAGACTCTCAAATCCACACTTCCGTTGCATCGTCGCTCAAGAACCTGCGCCATATATCTGAATCGCCAGACGACTCCTACCTCGACTGCATGCTTCTGCACTCACCACTACCAACAACCGAGCAAACAATCCAAGCCTGGAAGCTACTGGAGACATACGTCCCCCATCGCATTCGCTCCCTTGGCATCTCAAACGTAACCCTGTCTGTACTCGAAGCCCTCTATCAAAACGCTACTGTCAAACCTACAGTTGTGCAGAATCGCTTTTACCCCCAGACGCGCTACGACGTGCCTTTACGCAATTTTTGCAAAGAACACGATATCGTGTATCAGTCTTTCTGGACGCTGACGGGTAACCCGGCGCTTTTGCAGTCACAACCTGTTGCGGCGCTGGCACGAGCGGCACAGGTTGAGATACCGGTTGCACTGTATGCACTAGTTATCGATCAGGGTGTTGTGGTGTTGAATGGGAGTACGTCGAGAGAGCATATGGAGATGGATTTAGAGGGGATTCAGAAGGTTCGTGATTGGGCTGTGGAGAAGCCACAGGAGTTTGCTGCTATTGCTGGAGATTTTAAGGCTATAGTGGAGTGAGTGTTTGTCTGTGCTGGTTGTGCAGTGATACTACCTACGGACGAAAAGATACCCGCTTCCGCATCGATTCCGTACCATTCATTGGGCACTTCCCAGCTCGTTAGGTACCGGGGATGCATATCATACGCTATTTTTCTTGCAATAACAATGATCTGGCGAGTTTGAAAGTGTGGTAAATTTTGTCTGACGTCTGCTGGCATAGCCTTCGTACCAATTAGACATGGACAAGAACAAGTCTATCACCCAAGGCTTCCGACAATCTGGCAGCCGCCATATGATGCTTAGATCCCAGTTATCACTGGCCTCTCGTTACAGATGATTGTAGGAAGCCATCAGTGTGTGGTCTCTCACTGTCGATGCTACCTGGGGCTAGCCACTCTATCACCCGCTAAAGACTGGACGCTTACCCATTTAAGACATCAGCACGCAGTGAAAGCCACCGACCTCCATCTCTTACCTCTGACGCTGGACTGGCCTAGTGCCAAAATTCTCACGTTGGCGACTCGGACCTCTTCTGCGCTACAAACCTCCCACGCATAACCGTCTATCAGAATCTATAGCATTTTAGTGAGCTCTGATCAACAGATACTGGTGTATCTTGCGTTCAGAAAAATATGGCCGGCAGCCCAGATCGTTCGTACTCGCCAGAGTACCTCGAGCGACTGTCAAGTCCTGATTACCTTGCTGGTGATGAGTCCTCGTCAGATTCGCAGAGTGTTCCTGAGGCAGATCGCCTCCCAGACGCTGCTGCACCTCTGAGCGCCGACGAGGACCGAATGGATTCGAATTACCCAGTGCCCAGTCAGGAACGCAGTCCTAGCGGCAGTGACAGCAATGAGGAACACCCGCCCTTGAAGCGGTTCAAAGAAGGGCCAGCCTTGGATTACGAATCCTCTGATGATCACATCCCACACAACCGCCCGGCCGCCAGTCTCATCGACAGCGATGGCAATGAGGAGCCTCCGTCCTCGAAACAGTCGACCAAAGACCAAACGAGGTACTACAACTCGTCTGACAACTACCCTCCACCCAGACGCCCACCCCCCAGCTCCACCGCCAACCCTCCCCCAAAGAAGGCTACTCAAGACAAGAAGAAACCCAATCAACCCCCTCCCCCCTCCAACCCCCCCAAGAAAAACGACCCCAGCACCAAAGCCTCCCTAATCCACCAAATCCAGTCCCACTGGGGCCCCAACTTTATAAAAACCTACATTCCAAAATGCCATCGCCCCCTTATCAAACTCCCCACCTCCACCACAAAACGCAAACGCCCCCACCCCTTACTCCGCAAACACGAGTCCAACCCCCACAACTGGACCCCTTCCTCTCTAGCCTCCATCCTGCGCATCGCAAAACTCACTTCGGACAAAGCGTGGTTGCAACAAGCAACGCGAGATGTAGTGCGGTATAGAATTCGGCATACAGGGAACCGCAAGCCGCAGCTGGGACGCGCGGATTTCGACGTTGTCGAGGATATGCTGGGGAAGGGGTGGGGAGTTGAATATGCGTTTGGGGTTCGGTATAAGCATTTAGTTAAGGAGGAGGGGGAGGGGGAAGGGGAGGAAGAAGAGGATGTAGAGTATCTGTTTGATGTTGGGCCCGAGAGTAGTGAGGTGGATGTGGGGTCTGAGGGGGAGGATATGAAGCTAAGGAGGCGGCAACGACGCGGTGACACTGATGGTGGTGGGAAGGCGAAGAAGCGGAAGGAGAGGGGGGATGAGGTATGTGCACCGTCTTCGTCTTCGGAGGAGGAGGAGGGGAGGATTAATCCGTATCAACATGCCTGGTGCAAATCGCAGTATGTCATGTTTCCGCCACTGCCACACACTTCTTCGTCTTCGGCGCAGGTTACGCAGAGGACTGCGAAGTCTGCGTCGAATGGTACGAAGAAAATGAAACAGAAAAGTGCACAGCGTGGTAAGGATGTACGGAATAGTCCTGAGGAATCGCTGTTTGTACCGGAGGAGAGAGAGAGGGAGAGAGATGAAAATGGGGAGTTTGAAGAGGAGGGAGAAGATGGAGAAGAGGAGGAAGAAGAAGAAGAAGAAGAAGAAGAGGAGAGAGACTACGAAGCAGAAATCGCAGCAGCAGAGGCGGAACTCAAACTTGCGCGGTTAAAGGTTGCGGCGGTGAAGGCGAAGAAGTTGAACAGGAAGAAGTGATATCTTCATTGACCGTGCTTTGGGTTATTTGGTTTGCATTATAGGGTTGGAGATGGGAGTTTTGTGGGCTAGGTTTAGGATACTGGAAACTAAGGGGGTTTTACTGTATTCATTTCCTTTTGATACCCAGTATTAGGGCAAAAGAGATCTGTAAGTCTCTTTGCAACAAGTGTACACAAGCATAAAAATAGACAGAGAAGGAAATAGGAAAGACGGCACACGGCAAAAGAAGCCAAACTTCATACCTAGAAAAATGTTCATTTTTATGGAATCCGTCTATAAAACCTATGCGATCAATTCACTCTAATAAACCTCAAGCACATATCTCCCCTCATCCTTCAACTTCTCAATCTCCTTTCTGCTATCAATCTTCTTGGCTGCGGGGTTCTTGACCTTATGCTCCACCTCGAGCGCCTCCTGCAGCACCTCGGTGACATCGGGAACAGGCCAGGTAGGACCGCAGAGGTAAAAGCTACCCTCCTTTTCGAGATAGCTGCGTCGAATGTCCTTGAGAGACTCGCGCATACGGTCTTGAATGTAGATCTTCTGGGGTTGATCACGCGAAAAGGCGCGGCCAATAAGAGTGATGATGCCGGCGTCTTGGTAGGCCTCCCATTCCTCGCCGTAAAGGTACTCTTCGCGTTGGTGGCGCGAGCCCATGTAGAGTAGGACTTCGCCGATTTCGTGGCCTTGCTGCTTTTGGTAGGCGCGCTCTTGGACGAAGGCACGGAAGGGAGCGAGACCGGTACCCAGACCGGCCATGATGATGGGGGCGGTCGTCTTGGTGGGGAGCTTCATGACGGAAGGCTTTACAGAAACGGTGACGGGAGAGCCGACCTTGAGGCTGTTGAGGTAACGGGTGGCTTGACCAAAGCGGTCGCGGCCCTTGGGGTCGGTCCAGTTTACCGTCACGATGAGCAGGGAGACGGAGTTGGGGGTCACGTGTTGCGCGGAAGCAATGGAGTACTCACGGCGCTTCATGGGACTGACAATGCGGACAATCTCGTGGAAGCTGGGGTGTGCAGACGGGAACTCGAGCAGGATATCAGCATAGGTGATGGTGTCAACCTCAGCGCGGCGCTTGAACTCGGTAGCACCCTCTGGACTGATGATCTGAAGGAGTTCCCGTTTCTCAGCCTCGTCGCTGGCAAACTCGGCAAGTGATTCGTAGAAGCGCTTCGGTGGACGACCGAATATGTCGACATTCTGCAGAAGAGACTGGTAGACAGTGCGGTTGATCAACACGTTGGGATCCTCACGAGATGGAACCTCGACAATCTCGTTGGGGTTGAGGCCGTACCACTTGATGAACTCGTCGACTTGAGCCTCGTCGTTCTCCGCGTGGATACCGAGGGCCTCACCGATGGCGTAAGTGACACCAGAGTCTCCGAGATCAAACTCGATGTGGAAAATGTTACGATCATAGTTCTGGGGTGTAAGGCGACGACGTTCCTTGACATGGACAATGCTTGTCTTGATACCAAGGTCGGGACGGACTTGGTTAGAAGTACCGTAAGCCTCCTTGAAAGCGAAGCCCTTGGCAGCGACTTGCCAGTCTTTGAGTAGAGTGGGAGGTTCAGGCTCAGTGCGCTCGAAAGGAGCAAAGCTGGTAACGTTGATGTCTGAGGGAAGACTGATGGGCTCAGCATCCTCAGCAGTGCCCCAAGAAATAGGAACCTCCACCTCACGGAGGGCACTCTCAAGTTGCGCAGTAAGCTTCTCGAAAATTTCCGAGCTACCGTTGATAGCGGCGAGCTTGGAGAGACCGGATGTTAGAAGATCTTCCCGAGCAACCTTGAGGAATGCGAGCTGAGTGAGGAAAGACTCCAGAGATTCATCCTCAGCGACAGCCTCAGAGAGGGTAGGGTCCAGAACGAAGAGCTCGATATCCTTGTTGACAAGAGTCTTGCGGAAAGCGGGAGAGAGCTTCTTCTCAATGTCCTCATTCTTCACGCCTGGTAGCTTGACGATAATGGAGCCATCGGGCTTGATGCTGTTCAAAACATCAAATGCCTTGAGGATGGCTTCGTCGCCAATGAAGGCAACATCAGCTTGCTCAACAGCATATGGAGCCTCGATGGTGTAGTCGGCGTTGCGGATGTCAGTTCGCGCAACACCGCCTTGGACCAGATTGTCGTGTCCGTTGCGCACAAAGACATTCTTTGAAGAGTCAGTGGAGAAGAGCTTGCCAATAACTGCGGGTGCGTTGGCAGCTGGGGATTCGTCCAGGTTCCAGAAGCTGTACTGCTTCACGTCGGCATTGTTCAAGATGTCGATAAAGGAACGTGCTTCTGTGCCTTCCTTCTCGGCGTGGATTTGACGGAAAGCATCGAGGAAGTTGCTGGGTGTCCAGACTTGCTCGCGAGAGTATTTGACATCCGTTACCTCTACGTTCCTGTCGAGGGTGAACTGAACAGCTGCCAATACATCGGCGTATAGCCTCGAGTACTCAGCAGGGTCAAGCACGGCAGTCTCATCCTTGACCTGACCAAGGACAGCAATGCGGCGAGTGCTCTTGGGAAGCGCTTCCAAGAAGGCCTCCTCCACAAAGGGGCGGTACACACGGACGTTGATGACACCGACCTTCTCGCCCTCCTTGGACAATGCGGTTGCAACCTGAGCAGTCAAAGATGCCTCCACGGTGCCGAAGACAACGAGAACGCTCTCAGGCTCCTCATGGCCATAGTAGTCGAAGAGCTTGTAGTCCTCGCCGAGCTCGTCGTTGAAAGCCTGGAGGAGACGCAGCACACGTCCAGCGGTATCCGAATGTTTCTTATCCACATCAGACACTGCCTTCAGCACGGCCTCGTAACTGTTATATAGCCTAGCCTGGTCGAGCGTGTCAACTAGCCTCGCCGTCTCTCGTCCAACAGTGATGCCATCGTATGTGTGAATGGTAGGAATGACGCTCGAGAGCAGAGTTGCGAAGAGAGCCATGTGCTGAGACTCGAAGACGGATGGACTGCAGACAAGACCGAGGCCCAGATCTTCAGCAATTGTGAGGGATGAAACATAATCGGTGACGAGACCAGCGCTTGCGTTCGCAGAATAATCGACAGCAGCAATGTGCGCGGTAAGAGGGTTGGCGACCGAGTAGAGCGCAGCCAGCTGGTCAAGAGAAGAGCGGAGGTGCGTCAACGTCGAGGAAGCGGCAATGATCGACTGCGGGATATGACGCTTCTTCAGGTCAAAGTCCTTGGAGAACATGTAGCCCAAGGCAATTGCACCTGCACCTGTCCTTGTCTCCAGAGAGGAAACTCCAGTCTGGTATCCAAATGCATTCTTCTCGCCCTGCTCTTGCCAGTACTTGACTGCTACGTCTAGGTCGAACGACTCGGCGGAGTATGCGAAGATCTTATCCGAGAGGGCGTATGCAACCTGCTGGACGAGGGTTTGCGCCGTGAGGTAGGTAGGGCCGCTGATTGACTGGTACGAGAGGTCCTGGCCAAAGGGTAGGCTCGAGGACTTCTTGGTGAACTCCTTGGGTGTGTTCTGCTCGGCGCCAGGGCCGGCGGAGTCCGTCTGCTGAAAATGCATCTTGAAAGGCGATGTATGCGCCTCGACGTCTCAGCCTTTGACGACAAGATCTGAGAGTCTTTCTTTAAAAGTAAAGAAAAGAGCGAGAGTTAGACTAGACTCTCCTTGAGGGTTCACCTGGGGATCTTATCGGTGGAGTGGACAAGTCGCCTCGTAGGAGACAAAAAGTGCCGCCGTCCAGTAGCGACATCGGCAGATTGAGGACCGAGAAAGACGCAATCGTTCATAATGCTCCTGATTGGCTCTTGCGACATGGTCTAGCACGTCTTTCGGGCGAGAGATTGCAAATGAGCGGAATGTCGCCTTGACGCGACGAGAATTTGGCCCTAGCGCGAATTGCGTGCTTCAGCGGCCACGCGGGGCCATGGCGGGGAAATCCCGGTACTCGGAGATCTGATGAGCGCCTACGAATGGACCCTGTTACATGAATAGCCTTGTTGTCAGTGCTTTTTCATACGTGGATCCCTGTGCATCTAAATGAAATAGTGGGTTCTTGGTGTCTTCTATGAGTGGTATCTAGCGTACGAAGTAACATGAGGCTAGTAGCAGGTTAGCAGCGCGGTTCAGCATTAGATAACCTCACGTGACCGTACGGCAAGGGCAGTATTGTATTACAATTGTCCATGCAGACGTCGATTTCTATGAGATAAAGCAAGGAAACCTAGGAAGCATACTGATTCAGGCAATCACAGGTGAGAACAGTGGGGCGGGGATGCATTTGTTTCCTCTCTCAAGATATTCAAACGGGATTGGAGTCCGCTCCTCATGTTCCTTAGTTAAGAACAGCAATGTTTCGAATAACACGCGAACAAGTACAACAAAGACACGGAGAGAATTTCAAGCGACTGATGAATCGGATGCAATTTGGACACTGATCACATATCATCCTGTGTTGTCCAACCGATCCCCTATATTACAGTCTCTTCAAACTCTCATGTAACAAGCCTCACAATCTCGAAACAAACAGATTCGTGAACCAGTCCAGGTACAAAGAATTTACTTCACTGCGACGACCCCTGCTTGCATGGCGCTGTTTGGAACCCTCAAAAAGACTGAAAATCCTCTTTGTGATCAAGAAAGCCCTCATGGTCGATCATAATACGGACAGAGAATAGCAGTCGAGATATTCTGCGTTGTAAGACGGATGTATGCACGGGTTCTGCCTTCGGTGGTACGGAGCAATGCAGCTGGACACGGTCTTGGGGAAAATCATAAACTTAGCTGAAGGCTTCTTAGACTACAACTAGCGCTTTGCGTATACACGAAGAAACGGACCCTGGATGTGACTGCATCTGAACAAGCTGGCGCAACTGGTGGCCAACAAATATCCGTGGATGTGAGAGTGTCAATGAGCGATGTGAATCGCGAAGGCCAACGTCTATTTTCCGCTTTGACTTAGGAATGAATCTGGAGCGTCCGACATTGGGTGACTAAGGTGGGAAGATTGCTTGGAATAAGGGTCC